GTGTGTGTGTGTGTGTGTGTGTGCTCACAGGATGAAGTGTCTGCTTTGAGACGCCGCCTGGAGAAGTCGGAGAAGGAGAGGAACGAGCTACGACAGAGCACTGATAACCTGGAGACAAAGGTATCGATGTCACCCAGGCATGGGGGGGTCAGCTGTCTGACTCAAATATCATCAGGCCCTTTATGGGAATCCAGACTGTGGCTTGCAGCACGTGACAAGCGCCCCCTTCTGGCAGCATTAGACAGCAGTTGTCAGTTAATACATTTAGAAGGATATGTAGTCATCAGAACTACAGAACCAAAGTATTCATGTGCTGTGATTTTAGAATATAGGATGGTTTCATAGAGCCTAAATCAACAGCTGTTAAATAATACAGTGCTGAGATATTTAGAGTATGTGTGTGTCAAAAACGTATCATTTTTTGGTAAATCAAAAATGGCAATGCAGTGGCATGTTGCTGGGGAAGATATCACTTGTCACTCCTGATCTGAGCACAGTGTAAAACAGTCGTGCATCAGGGGCAATTGGAAGATGGAGTTACTCATTAACACTTTGAAGTTGATGTTGATCTACCTCACCATGGTTACCCTCGTTCCAATCAGAACCATTATCATTTCATGCTTGTAAACCAGCAGTCCATCTCTCTGCTTCACAAAATTACAAACAGCACGGAAAAGTGCAGAACAGTTTAAGTTCAGTGTGAGTTTGAAACTGCATGATTTTTGATGACATAAGTGAAAGTTGCCTGATTTGTTAAAATGCAGCCCCACCAGCACAATTTTGTGCAGGGGGTGTGAGCCCTGGCTGGCCAGGGAACGGTGCTTAAAGCTTTCTCATCTCAGCTAGTGAGCAGCTATCTTGAACAGCCAGTGTTTCTGACATACGATGTTAGCTTAAGTAGCCTACAGAACTGGCCTGTTAGCATTAGCAGGCTGCTTCTTAGCTGGCTGAAAGGGCTGCAATCGGGGGCTTATGCTGACCTCATCACAGAATAAGCTGTTTGCGGCAGGCCTTCAAACACACAGCCCTCTGCCGCCCTGAATCTGCGGCAGGCCTTCAAACACACAGCCCTCTGCCGCCCTGAATCTGCGGCAGGCCTTCAAACACACAGCCCTCTGCCGCCCTGAATCTGCGGCAGGCCTTCAAACACACAGCCCTCTGCCGCCCTGAATCTGCGGCAGGCCTTCAAACACACAGCCCTCTGCCGCCCTGAATCTGCGGCAGGCCTTCAAACACACAGCCCTCTGCCGCCCTGAATCTGCGGCAGGCCTTCAAACACACAGCCCTCTGCCGCCCTGAATCTGCGGCAGGCCTTCAAACACACAGCCCTCTGCCGCCCTGAATCTGCGGCAGGCCTTCAAACACACAGCCCTCTGCCGCCCTGAATCTGCGGCAGGCCTTCAAACACACAGCCCTCTGCCGCCCTGAATCTGCGGCAGGCCTTCAAACACACAGCCCTCTGCCGCCCTGAATCTGCGGCACTGGGCAGGATATCGCCACCCCGTTCTCACGACAGCAGTATCAGCTTCTGGGATCTTCTCTGTCATCATGCACTTTCCAGTGTATTTGCACCAAGCTCTGATTCATATTCATATTCACAATGAGCTTTATTGGCATGACAGAGGCTAATTCTATTGTTGCATAATAAATCTTGGATGAAACAAAGGACAAATGTAATCAAATGACTGGAATAAGCAGCAGCAGGAGAAAGCAGGAGCGATTCCCTCTCTGCAGCTTCCCCTCCCTGCCCTCCCCTAGTTAGTCCCCTAGTTAGTCCCCTAGTTAGTCTTGCCCATGTCTGTTCCTTGCGAGTGGATCGAGTTCTTAATATGATATTCTGCCCCCCTCCCTCGGCAGACTGGGGAATTCTTTAATGCGGGGGGGGGGGCCTTGTGTTTGCATCGGGGCATTCGGGCCGCTTTAATGCGGGGGGGGGGGGCCTTGTGTTTGCATCGGGGCATTCGGGCCGCTTTAATGCGGGGGGGGGGGGCCTTGTGTTTGCATCGGGGCATTCGGGCCGCTTGACTGCAGCCGCCTGATTTTAGGTTTGTTGTGAAATACAGGCGACTGCAGTGTTTAATGCAGAGTTCTGTCCATCAAACTTCTATTTACGCCTTTGGTCGCTCACTTAACTCAGAACTCATATCTTTCAGTTTTCCTCTGGAATGTTCTCCGTTTCGCACAAGTTTAAATTAGACAGTAATGACATATTATGCCTGCATGTACGTACATGCTGCACAGGGGTCCATGGGGTGGCGCTGTTGCTCAGGGCTGGGGGTTTGAATGAGTGTGTAGGATTGGCATATTCTGTCTGTCTTCATGCAGGTTTTCTCCTGCAGTCTGGAAACATGTTCAGCTGAAGTTGTGCTTAATGTGTGACTGTGCATGTGGACTGGTAACCTGTCCTAGCTGTCCCCTGTCCTAGCTGTCCCCTGTCCCAGCTGTCCCCTGTCCTAGCTGTCCCAGCTGTCCCCTGTCCTAGCTGTCCCCTGTCCTAGCTATTCTAGCTGTCCCCTGTCCTAGCTGTCCCCTGTCCTAGCTGTCCTAGCTGTCCCCTGTCCTAGCTGTCCCCTGTCCTAGCTATTCTAGCTGTCCCCTGTCCTAGCTGTCCCCTGTCCTAGCTGTCCCAGCTGTCCCCTGTCCTAGCTGTCCTAGCTGTCCCCTGTCCTAGCTGTCCCAGCTGTCCCCTGTCCTAGCTATTCTAGCTGTCCCCTGTCCTAGCTGTCCCCTGTCCTAGCTGTCTGCTGTCCCCTGTCCTAGCTGTCCCCTGTCCTAGCTGTCCCCTGTCCCAGCTGTCCTAGCTGTCCCCTGTCCTAGCTGTCCCCTGTCCCAGCTGTCTTAGCTGTCCCCTGTCCTAGCTGTCCCCTGTCCTAGCTGTCTGCTGTCCCCTGTCCTAGCTGTCTGCTGTCCCCTGTCCTAGCTGTCCCCTGTCCCCTGTCCTAGCTGTCCCCTGCCTTGTGCCCTGTGCTTCCTAAAACTAGAATATCAGACAAACAACCCATTAAGTTCACGTACTATGGTGACAAATGGTTGTCTAACTGATGTCTTGTCAGCCTTTGAAAGAGGTGTCATGTGACTTTAAGGTGACGGCGTTGTCCTCGGAGCTGAGTGACGAGCGGTTCAGGGGCGATGCTGTGAGCCAGGCCCTGGACATGGAGCGAGCAGAGCGACTCCGCCTCTGCAAGGAGAACAAGGAGCTGCAGGTGCCTCATGGGAGATGTGCCTCACGGGAGATGTGCATCATGGGAGATGTGCCTCACGGGAGATGTGCATCATGGGAGATGTGCACGGAGACGCGCACACGCGTGCCTGCATCCTGACACGGACCATGACATGTATTCACAGTTTCACATGCATGCATCTGCATGTGACAGGATTTTCACTTACTCTCCTTTTAATGTGTCAAATGATACAAAATACCCACACGGAAAAAGAGGCCACAATCTTATTATTTCACATATTTTTTTCTTTAAGATGCTTTAGTTGAATCAGCAATGAGAGACGTTGTGGAGAAATTGTTTTGAATTTCTATCCCCATAAACAAACACACGTTTGTATTCATATCTTTGTGGGGACCATCCATTCATTTCTACGAGAAAAACCCTAATCCCTACAATGACGACCTTAACCCAGACCCAACCGTAACCATAAGTAACCAAACAAAATACAAGTCTTTCGGTATATTTTTGTACCCCCCCATACACACACACACACACACACACATGCATGCACTCACGCATGAGCACACACGCAGTCCCCAGCTCACCCACACACTGGTGCACGTGCGCACACTCACTCGCACACAGCTCTCCCATCTGTCAGGCGGTGGGGGGTGGCACCCTGATAGCCTGAGCCAGCATACACAGGCGGCTTTAATGGCAGACTCGTGATGCTTGTGATCAGGACGTGCGGGGAGGTGACTCACTCAGCCTGGGTAATATCTCTTAATTACCACAGAGTGGGGCTCATGTTGGCTCCGCTCCTGAGGTGGGAATGACAAGGACTCTGTTCTCCGTGCTTGTGAGGCCATCATCTCATTTACTAAATTACTTTGTCTGGCTTCTGGATTCCACCTGTGAGTTTGACGCCTAATTGCATTTCCGTTCAACTGTATGTGTCATTTTTAGGAGTCGTAATGTCTGCCGTTTGTTTGTTCTGGTCCGATTCCTGCCTCGGGCTCAGGGAAACAAGATCGCAAGTGAGGACCTTAAAAAACGATTTCCCAGCAAGTTGGGGGTGGGGGGGGGGGGGGTGGTACTGCTTAATAGACCAGTGTATTATGGGAAATGGCTTTTATACGGTTCTCTGCAGGGGGCTGTAAAACAATCCCTTAGTACAGTAGGAGCCTGATGCGAGAGTGAGAGCTGATTCTGTGTTTTCACTGAAGCATGGGAGCAGTTATGGGGCTGAGACATATGCAAAAGTGAAAGAAGATACGAGCTTCAGCCAAGGCCTCATTATTTCTGATGTAGCACTGAGGTCGTTTTTGAAGTATTCCTGACTTCTCTGCATTTCTGTGTGCTGTCGGGAAACTGCTGATCTCTGACGGAACCACAAGCGTGCAAACACACACAGCATGGCCTCCCTTTTTGTCCTTTAATGATGTAAAAGGTTTATTGGATTTTCAAAAGACATTCATGTACACATTCTGAATTACATTCTGGATGACGTCTGGGTCGTCCTTTTGTGCCTGTAGTATTCAGACTAGTAACCTAGACTCCAAGTACTGTGGTCTTATTCCAGCTCTGTAAATGGATGAAGTTGTCATGGATAAAAGTGTCACTAAGCTACAAAATAGAGTGTGAAACTGGTTATGATGAACCTCCCCACTGTGTGGTTCTCTCAGGGCCGCTGGGACCAGTGTAAGGTCACCATTGACAGGCTGGAGAAGCAACTAGAGGAGGAGAAACAGCAGGCAAAGAGTAAGGAGGCACTCAGGGGTGGGGGTGCAGGTAAGGGGAGCGGCATGACGTGGCCCGTAATGTAAAGGTGACCTGCCGTCACCCCCCCACCCCCACGCTGATCACACTGGGGTGTCCAGCAGAGAGCGAGCTGCTGCTGCAGTTAGAGTGCGCACAGACGGAGGTGGAGTTCCTGAGGAGGAGACTGCGGCAGGGGGAGGAGAGGCAGGAGGCTGAGCGGGAGGCCCGGGCCCAGCTGGAGAGCAAGGTACACCCCTGCTACTGGAGTGGTATGGGTCAGGTCTGTTACAGTGCCCCCTGTCTCTGCTTAGACTCTCCTTAAGCCCCCCAATCCTACGGCGTGGGCAGGTGTCAGAGCTGCAGACCCAACTGGAGCAGTCAAAGCGTAACCTGACTGAGCTGAAGCGGCAGTGTCGCCGCGTGACCTCTGACCTCCTGGATGCCCATGTGCTCACTGAGGCCCTGCAAGGCCGCGCACACGACCTGGACAGGAAACAGCGCAGGTGACCTTCAGCTCTGCTTTGCTCTACAAGGGCTAACAGTGTAACTTTTAAGGTCTTAGGCCTGTCCTGTTTCTGAGAGCTTATTTTATCGGAAAGTGTAGTGCTGTAGTTTTGCACAATCCTTACTCTCCTTTTTCTGTACCTCTGTATTTGTGCAGGTTTGACAGTGAGCTGACGCAGGCCCTCCAGGGGGCTGACGCTGAGAGGGAGCAGAAAGAGAAGGCCATTCAGGAGAACATAGCCCTCAGCGCCGAGATCTTAAGCCTGCAGCGCCATCTCAAGGTGTGCCGTATGTCCACCGGCAACAAGGCGGTAATTAGCGAGACATGAACAACAGGGTATCATGCCGCTGTGGTCCTGTGTTTCCAGGAAGTCCAGACAGAGGTGTCTGTCCTGCAGCAGCAGAAGGAGGAGTTGTGCGCTCAGATCCGAGACTTGACTGCATCGTCGAACCTGAGCTCCGACTCCATCCCCAGCCTCAAAAAGCAGCTGCGGGAGCTGGAGGTGCAGGAAAAGGAGCATGGAGAGGAGATCTCCAAGCTCACTGCAAATATACAGCGGCATGAGCAGGTGGCTTCCTATATACAGACAAAGCACTGGCACTGTGAAGCACGGATCAATTTATAATATAATACAAAAATTAGGGATTCATACTGTCCTAACATTGTCAAGGTGTAATGCACAAACAATCAGAGGTGGATTACCCAGTGTTGATGTTTTGTCAATAGATTGAGGCCTAAATGCTTCATTTGCAGAGGTGGAAGGTTCAGGTTCAGAATGTACATTCTGAACCTGAAACTTCCACCTCTGCAAATGAAGCATTTATTCCATTAGGCCTCAATCTATAGACAAAACGCCAACACTGGGTAATATCACATATTAGGCTCCGATAACCAAGCGCTGAGGCTCCACCGGGTGCAGGAAAACGCTGCCGACCGCAGGTGATACACACTGACGCTGATTCTATTGATTGAATACTGACAGCGTGAAAAACGGAGAGGAAATCTTTAGGAAAAACAAACAAAAAAGCAGCGACACAGTGCTGATGCGTGCAGTACTGACAGGGACGCGCTAATGCCATGCTGACACCGCGAGGGGAAGCTGATGAAATGCGATATCGTAGATGCATCTGCGCTGCGAGATGGAGATGGAGAGGATGAAGCAGATTCACCAGAAGGAGCTAGAGGACAAAGAGGAGGAGCTGGAAGACGTGCAGAAGTCATCACAGAGACGGGTAACTGGGGGGGGGGGCAGCTCAATGGGATGTCCAATAACTCCTCAAACAAAAAACTCTGTTGTAAAGTTCCCTCTTATCTTTAACCCTGGTTTTATTTTAAGTGAAACAGTTATTCCTATTTCCCTGTCCTTATCCAAATGCATTTACCACAATATGTAATGCCTGCGCAGCTGAGGCAGCTGGAGATGCAGCTAGAGCAGGAGTACGAGGAGAAGCAGATGGTGCTCCATGAGAAGCACGACCTGGAGGGGCTGATTGCCACGTTGTGTGAACAGGTACGGGGGCGGGGCCTATGGGGGAGCGGGGGGGGGGGGGGCCAGGCACATGCCACTGGGATTTACACCCATCGCAGATCTGCTGTTACCAGCCTCGACATTCTGTGGTCTGTGATCCCTGACCGGGCATCGCAGGGGGGGCATGGAAAGCGGATGGCACAATGCCAAGAGGTGACATCACAGCGGGTGGCACCTATTCCTGTACCCACTACTCACTGACAGGATGAACATGCAAAGTGATGCCGGTTCATGATGTCATATGGTTACATGTTGTTTCCTAAAATGCCCCCCCCTCCCATTCCCAGGTGGGCCACAGAGATTTCGACGTAGAGAAACGCCTGAGGAGGGACCTGAAACGTACCCACGCCCTTCTGAGTGACGCCCAGCTGCTGCTGTCCACTGTCGACACCCCTGGCCAGGGGGCTGCCAGCCGCCAGCAACTGGAGCGTCTCAAGATCCAGGTGCCCCCCCCCCCCCGCCCAGCATCCTCACCTCCAGCAGGCACTTCTGCCTCGCTTCCCTTCCTGGATATTGCACATTGTCACACCCCCTGGCCAGAATCTCCAGTTTCCTAACCCCCCCCCCCCCCCCAGCTCCGTGCTACCTAGTACCTGTGAAAGTAAAGGGCACCTCTCTGAGTAATGCTGGGGGGGTCTGCGGCTTCCCACCACCTGGGC